ACGCTTGAGCTTCATGCATTGTCAAACATCCTCACGTGCAAGCCACCCTAATGCGTCTCCACCTGTATGTCACGCCTGTAGTCTCCCTTTCTCCAAACTCATTCTAGTTCGACTAAAAATTAAGAAAATAACCTTGATTTTTTGGGCAATTTTTTTGTATCGATTTTCTATTTTGATTCTGCCAATTTTCTGGCTGGTTTTTGATCAATTTTTAAGTTAAATTTATCACTTGAAGCTCTGATACCAACTGTCTTGGAAACTCGCTTCAAAGATATTCTAAACAGTATTTTTTAGGCTCGGTTTCCCGATACCTTTTTCTACCAAACTACCAATCCAAATAACTCCAACCCATAACTAATATATTCACCTCGATTACTTCACAATCTCACCCACAAACGACAAGATAGCAAAGATGATTTACAAACCACAAAGGCATGGGAAAAACAACGAGAAAAGGCAATAGAAGACACCAAAATACAAAGATAAAGTCACAACTTTTTCTCTCTCAAAAGAAAGGGCAGCCACATTTTTCCCACTTTCATACACAAATCACACACACACGCGAGGATAAAAGCAACACATATATAGGGATAAGTCAGGCTTCAGTTGAAATGATAACAAGGTCAAATGGGCCAAAATTCAAAGCCATCCAATCTATATGAGCTGTGAGTAGCAATAATTTCTTAAACTACTTCCAACGGCCCATGTTGTTTTTGGATCAAACCTTTGAACTTGGTTATTGGTAATGCATATGAAATTCAATCCGACATTTATGTCATAGCTCGAAATTTATTGGGTATCAAAACCCAGCATGATGCTTTCCAATTTTATATATTCAATATAAAACTTGAGCATTTGGAGCCAAAAAAAAAAAAAATTAAATAAATAAATGAACAGAGCAGAGAAAATTTGCCTAATAAAAATGGTTAATATCCCAAATTATATTGTAAAAAGATTTCGTTTAGGGTTTTCTCAACTTGTATTTAAATTTTCCTTATATCAAATTATAAAACTTTACATGTTAATCTAGAAGCAAGCTGCACGAGAAGGAAAATGTTGAGTCTAGAATTAAACAACAAAAAGTTCCTAAAATAGTTTCCGAACTACGTGAGAGCTTGTGAGTGGGTCCCTTATTGCTAGGCAAGGCTAGTCAAGTGATATTCCACCAATTTACGCTCTTATTTGGTCCTCATTAAAAATGTAATTTATTTTTTCTGTTCTTATCAATCACATATTTTTCAATAAAATAATATTATATGTAATCCAAGAACTTTTTTTTAACTATATATTATTCAAAAAAATTCTATTCCAATCGTTAAAATTTCTAATAATGGGGGCTACAATGAATGGAACTACACTATAAGCAAGTCCTTTGCCCTTTTCTCATTTTCCATATGTGCACATTCCCACATTCTTTACACGGACATGAAATAAAATAATCTGCACTTTAAAGACTTATTTCAATTGACTATTCCATAATGTTTTCTCTAGCCTGTTAACTATTGATCAATAATCACTTATCATATAATTCAACTTATTATAACTCTAGAATCCCTTGGTTTAAGACATGCATTTATTTAGCAATAATAAATGCAGCATTTCCATTATTTATTCTTTATTAACTGCTAAAAACTCATTAATCAAGAATAATGCATCTCACCAAATTATAGCTTCTCAATAATATCCCACTTGGCTAAAAACCGAAAGTTATACCCATTATGAGCATGTTGGGAGGATTTTTGCTTTTATTTATGCTCTTGTAGAATGCCTTCTTGAGAAAACTACATATGTCCAACTTCCTCTATAAATTCTTCTAATCAGATAAAACGCTTTAAAAAATTATCTAAACATATTCAAAATTTGCTTTTTAGTTTTAATAGCTTTTCACTTTTCAGAATTCTTGTCCAAACAACTATATTTCTTATGAAAAGAAATTAAACTACTTTGCTAGATTTTTTTTGACATAATAGTTGACTTCCTCTTACGGCACGTGACCCTGCATGAATAAAAAAGCCCGAAAAAGAAGTGGACCTCCGTCAATGTGAGTGTCGATCATCCATTTTGTCAAAAAAGTTCTGTCACCTTACCATGTTAATAAAAAAAAAAAATGTGTAAACAAATTTACTAATTAATGAATCGCCAAACTCCACGTTTGATGACATTGGTTGAAGAACGCAAGTTAAGATTTTACACGGTTTACAGACGTTGAAGTGGTAGTTGATTCAATGATTGAGGACTTCCCAATTTGGTAAAGCTGTGTTTTGTGTGGTTATTAGAAATGCACGCCACATAGATATTTATGGATATCTTTAAATCTGGAGTAGAATCCATAAACTTCCCTTATATATATATATATATATATATATATATATATATATATGTTGCTAAAGAGACACATAAGCAGAAACTTCTCCATACTGAAGGTTTTATACAAAATATCGCTTACAGTATGGTGAGTACTCCAGTTGGATTGAGAAAAGGTTCATGGGCTGAAGAAGAAGACAAACTTCTCAGGAAATGCATCGACAAGTATGGAGAAGGAAAATGGCATCAAGTTCCTCTCAGAGCAGGTATATATTGCCTCAAAATACATGCAAGCACATACAAAAACTGGGCGAGAAAATGCCTTTGCTCAAGCCCCATTTTGCGGGAAGATAATATGTTAAAATAGTGTTTGTTGGAAAATATGTTATTAAAATGTAAGACAAAAATTTCATTTACGTATAAAATTATATTATTAAAAAATGTGTAGTTGAAAATGATTTTTAAGAAAATGACTTTTTGATAAAAATAGGGCTCAAACAGGCAACATATATTTTTGGGGATAGGGATAAGTCAGGCTTCAGTTGAAATGATAACAAGGTCAAATGGGCCAAAATTCAAAGCCATCCAATCTATATGAGCTGTGAGTAGCAATAATTTCTTAAACTACTTCCAACGGCCCATGTTGTTTTTGGATCAAACCTTTGAACTTGGTTATTGGTAATGCATATGAAATTCAATCCGACATTTATGTCATAGCTCGAAATTTATTGGGTATCAAAACCCAGCATGATGCTTTCCAATTTTATATATTCAATATAAAACTTGAGCATTTGGAGCCAAAAAAAAAAAAAATTAAATAAATAAATGAACAGAGCAGAGAAAATTTGCCTAATAAAAATGGTTAATATCCCAAATTATATTGTAAAAAGATTTCGTTTAGGGTTTTCTCAACTTGTATTTAAATTTTCCTTATATCAAATTATAAAACTTTACATGTTAATCTAGAAGCAAGCTGCACGAGAAGGAAAATGTTGAGTCTAGAATTAAACAACAAAAAGTTCCTAAAATAGTTTCCGAACTACGTGGGAGCTTGTGAGTGGGTCCCTTATTGCTAGGCAAGGCTAGTCAAGTGATATTCCACCAATTTACGCTCTTATTTGGTCCTCATTAAAAGTGTAATTTATTTTTTCTGTTCTTATCAATCACATATTTTTCAATAAAATAATATTACATGTAATCCAAGAACTTTTTTTTAACTATATATTATTCAAAAAAAATTTATTCCAACCGTTAAAATTTCTAATAATGGGGGCTACAATGAATGGAACTACAGTATAAGCAAGTCCTTTTCCCTTTTCTCATTTTCCATATGTGCACATTCCCACATTCTTTACACGGACATGAAATAAAATAATCTGCACTTTAAAGACTTATTTCAATTGACTATTCGATAATGTTTTCTCTAGCCTGTTAACTATTGATCAATAATCACTTATCATATAATTCAACTTATTATAACTCTAGAATCCCTTGGTTTAAGACATGCATTTATTTAGCAATAATAAAATCAGCATTTCCATTATTTATTCTTTATTAACTGCTAAAAACTCATTAATCAAGAATAATGCATCTCACCAAATTATAGCTTCTCAATAATATCCCACTTGGCTAAAAACCGAAAGTTATACCCATTATGAGCATGTTGGGAGGATTTTTGCTTTTATTTATGCTCTTGTAGAATGCCTTCTTGAGAAAACTACATATATCCAACTTCCTCTATAAATTCTTCTAATCAGATAAAACGCTTTAAAAAATTATCTAAACATATTCAAAATTTGCTTTTTAGTTTTAATAGCTTTTCACTTTTCAGAATTCTTGTCCAAACAACTATATTTCTTATGAAAAGAAATTAAACTACTTTGCTAGATTTTTTTGACATAATAGTTGACTTCCTCTTACGGCACGTGACCCTGCATGAATAAAAAAGCCCGAAAAAGAAGTGGACCTCCGTCAATGTGAGTGTCGATCATCCATTTTGTCAAAAAAGTTCTGTCACCTTACCATGTTAATAAAAAAAAAAAATGTGTAAACAAATTTACTAATTAATGAATCGCCAAACTCCACGTTTGATGACATTGGTTGAAGAACGCAAGTTAAGATTTTACACGGTTTACAGACGTTGAAGTGGTAGTTGATTCAATGATTGAGGACTTCCCAATTTGGTAAAGCTGTGTTTTGTGTGGTTATTAGAAATGCACGCCACATAGATATTTATGGATATCTTTAAATCTGGAGTAGAATCCATAAACTTCCCTTATATATATATATATATATATATATAAACATAATAGTTGACTTCCTCTTACGGCACGTGACCCTGCGTGAATAAAAAAGCCCGAAAAAGAAGTGGACCTCCGTCAATGTGAGTGTTGATCATCCATTATGTCAAAAAAGTTCTGTCACCTTAGCATTGTTAATAAAAAAAAAATGTGTAAACAAATTTACTATTTAATGAATCGCCAAACTCCACGTTTGATGACATTGGTTGAAGAACGCAAGTTAAGATTTTACACGGTTTACAGACGTTGAAGTGGTAGTTGATTCAATGATTGAGGACTTCCCAATTTGGTAAAGCTGTGTTTTGTGTGGTTATTAGAAATGCACGCCACATAGATATTTATGGATATCTTTAACTCTGGAGTAGAATCCATAAACTTTCCCTTTATATAGATATGTTGCTAAAGAGACACATAAGCAGAAACTTCTCCATACTGAAGGTTTTATACAAAATATCGCTTACAGTATGGTGAGTACTCCAGTTGGATTGAGAAAAGGTTCATGGGCTGAAGAAGAAGACAAACTTCTCAGGAAATGCATCGACAAGTATGGAGAAGGAAAATGGCATCAAGTTCCTCTCAGAGCAGGTATATATTGCCTCAAAATACATGCAAGCACATACAAAAACTGGGCGAGAAAATGCCTTTGCTCAAGCCCCATTTTGCGGGAAGATAATATGTTAAAATAGTGTTTGTTGGAAAATATGTTATTAAAATGTAAGACAAAAATTTCATTTACGTATAAAATTATATTATTAAAAAATGTGTAGTTGAAAATGATTTTTAAGAAAATGACTTTTTGATAAAAATAGGGCTCAAACAGGCAACATATATTTTTGGGGCTTCATTTTGAAGAGTTTGTGTTTGATATTTGTAGGCTTAAACAGATGTAGGAAGAGTTGTAGGCTCAGGTGGTTAAACTATCTGAAGCCAAATATCAAAAGAGGCGACTTTACACCAGATGAAGATGATCTCATTATAAGGCTTCATAAGTTGTTAGGCAACAGGCAAGTTCAGAATTAATGATTTATAGCATAATATCATTTTCTCTGTTTTGATTGTCTGGTCGATCGTTTTATGGCATATTCTGCACAGTTGTCATTTCTAGTCCTATCTTACGAGACTTAGCTCATACAATTATGTTGGGGCATTTCCAAGTCATATAGGCATGAATATGAAAAAGGTGCATTAAAGCTTAAGTTTTGCGGTGATGTATTCAATTGAGAATTTTGAAAATTTTGATGGACTTTTTTAAGTAATGGTTTTGGTGAATTTTAGTGATTTTTTATAGATTTATATAGAATTAGTGGAAATCATCCGTAAACTTTTATGAACTTTCATTTTAAAACTTTTATAAACTTTTGTTGAATTTGAAAAACTTTTTGAAGACTTTCCTTTGAAATATAATTCACATGAATCTAGTACTATGTATGAAATTCTCACATATGATGTGTTGGTTCCACAATTTCCCTTCCTCTTCCCATATAATAAAAAAATTAAAAGAATAAAAGTTTAAGAGCTTAATTAAATAAAAAATAATCAATAAAAAATAAATTTCATATTCAATATCATTAATATTATATACCTTTAAAGAATAAATAAAATCAATATATTTAAATTTAATTATAAATTGTCTATATAAAATTGTATACCTTAATTAAAAATAGATATTTTTCACAAAAAAATGAAATGAGATAAAAAAAAAAAAAACAAAGTTATAAGAATTTAATTTTTCCTTAAAAAATAGAGATAAACAATAAGAGAGAAAAATAGAAACAAATATAATCAATAAAAAATTTATTCATAACTATAATATGAAATATTAAAAAAATATTAATTTCTTCACTTTTTTTGTGAAAGTCTCCCAAAACCTTGTAATTAATTAGCGACAAATTTTTAGATTTTATTTTAGTACTTTTCGATTAAAAGGTTAGCACCTCGGAGACTTTAACAAAAGTTTCTAAAAGTGATTAAAATTTGAATAACCAAAAACTTATAGAAGCTTCTACAAAGTTTTAATTGAATACACCATGACTTATACAGACTTTTTAAAAGTTTATAAAAGTTTCATCTGAATATACAAATAAGTTTAAAGAGTTTTAAAAAGTTTACATTCAATACTCCTAATCTTTTTAAATCACAAAACTCACTAAATGTCTCAATTGAATACACCCTCTTGGGAGCCTTTGAGTTTGATTAAGCTAGTCTTTTAAGTTTTTAGTCAAAAAATGGGAATATATTAATGGCTTTATTAGTTCCAAAAATGGGTTTTTTAATATTGATTTTTTGAAAAATGTATGGTTGAAGAGTAGGGAAAATTTCGTATTTAGGTTCAAAATTATTTTGTTAAGAGAATATCTAATTAAAAATGAGTTTGAAAAGGAAAATGAGTTAAAGAATGAGAGGGGCTTAAATTTCTTTAATTGTACACGTACATACTACTTGTTGAAAAACAAATTTATATTAAAAATTGAATTTCAAATGCCTTTGTTGAGTCAATTAATCAGGGTGTTTGTTTGGAATCCTCAAAAGAGAGTAATGATATTGGCTATTATTGGAGTTTATGTGACATTAAATTAGAGATTTAATTAAATGGTCACATATTTCTACAATTAATTGAAAATATAAGGAGTTTAGTTTGCAGTTTTTAAGTTGCTTTCAGCTTTTATTTTTTTAAAACATGTTAGTCTAGAATTTTTTTACTAATGCATTTTTGAAAAAATGTTAAATTTATAATGTATAACTCAAAACGTATTTGACATGTTCAATGTTTTTAGTGAATATGCCAAAAACATTAAAAATATGTGAAATACGCGTTTAAATAAAATATTATTAAAACATATAAAATTCTGAAAAAAAAATTATAAAATTAGAAAGAAAATTATAGAAAGAAAAAAATTTCTAGAATTCTAAAAAAAAAAATCTAAAAAAAATCTTGAAAATTCTAGAAAATTAAAAACTTGAAAGAAATAAAAATAAGAACAGTTCAAGCTTTTATTGGTTAATTAAGTAAAAATTATAAAATATTATTCAAATAAATATAGATAAAAATTCTTATTCCAAGTCATTAGTTTTTACATTTTATTTCCTATGGTTTGCCAACTTAATTTATTATGTATTTTTCCACTTTGCTGTATGAATTTTACCAGATGCAGTGACATAATCTTACATGAAAGTGGAGGATTAGAAAGAAAATATAACTATGTTTTAAATAGTCTAAATATAGACTGCTATGTGTCATTATGTCAAGGATTATGTCAGTGAGTTTGGCACTCTAGTATGATTGAATTATTATTTGTTTTATTTTACTTTTATATTGAATAAAATATTGTAAGATTTTCCAACTTTAATATATATGTTACATGATATTGTATTAAAATAAATTGTTATATTTTACTGAATAATTAAATCTTATGAAAATATATGTTACATGATATTGTATTAAAATAATTTTCTCAAAATTTTAGACAAAACGTGTTTTCAATTGTTTTATCTTGAGAAACATTTGTCAGAATGACAAACCAAATATATTTTCATTGATCTTAAAATACTCCCTCAAACAAAAACTGAAAAATGAACTCGAAATTGAAAAAAGAAAAAATGCAAACCAAATGGGCCCTAATATTTTATCACATAGATTGGTGTTGTAGCACTAGGAACTTAAAAAGTAATTTAAAGTGATTTTACTTATCTTTAAGCACTAATGTTCAATTTTAGGAGTACTGCATTTTGGAACATGCCGTAAAATTTTTAGCTCAACTTCTAATGACCTACGCTTCTCCATGTTGATATAGATGGTCGCTAATTTCCGGTAGACTTCTCGGAAGAACGGCCAACGACGTGAAAAACCATTGGAACACTCATCTTCAGAAGAAGGTATTGGCTCTAGAAGAGGAGAAGAGAAAAGCCCAAGAAACTATCCAAACGACAATCTTTAAACCTCGACCTCGGATCTTCAGAAGAATTGGACCCCTTCCGTCAAGAGAAAACATAACAATCGAACCAAATATTTCAATAACTAATCAAAATTCAGACAATCTGTCTCCATCATCATCAAAACCAGTAGATGGTGAATGCACCCAATGGTGGAGTAACTTGCTTGCTTCTGTCGAAATTGATGGAGAAATTGAGCCAGAGTCCAATGGAACATCTTTGGAATTGCAGGGAGAAAATACTGGCTGGAATGACTTTTCTCTTGACAAGGACATTTGGGAACTTCTGAGTTCTGAAAACAACACAATAATGTAGAATTCATTTGAACTTTCCTATTTTGATGTGTCTATTACTTTCAAAAAATAAATCTTCATATTTTGTACGTATGATTAAGAATATTCCGAAAATCGTCGGGATAATAAGCCTTGTTATTTCCAAATTAGTTTATTAGCATAAATGGTCTTTAATGTATGATTCTTCTAAAGAATCAGGACCTATCATTTTAAATTTAAGAGTTACATCCCTATAGAAATATTTGAATGTGAATTTCGTATTTTCTGTTATTCTAAGTCCATCTACTTTTAAAGACAAGTTTACTGATAAAAGTCGATTGTATCTCTAGTTATAATTGAATGAAAAGAAGGAAAACAAAGAAAATAAAAATAAAAGATAAAACATAAAGATTCTCGATCTTCCTCCACTTTCTTCACTGATATCAATATCCCCACCACCATCGTTGGTTGATTCTCCACCAGCCTCTTCTTCCCCCTGATTCTCCACCAACTCACCCTTTTACCACCACTCATTCCTCCTTTATATCGTCCTCATTACCACAACATTTAGTTACGTCTCCACTTCTACCTGATAATCCCTTCAAATTACCATGATTAGGATTTTGAAATTTTTATCAATTTCTTTCTAAGACACATGCTTGCATCACTACAATTCTTTTAATGATAGTTTAGGATTTCGAACTTGCAATTTCGATTTTCCCCAATTTTTCTTAAATATGGAGTCGTCGTTAGGATTTTGAATTATTATAAAAAAGGTCAGAGGGTTAATAAAAAAAAGATGCGAGATTTTCTATTGTAAACTTATATTCATCATAGTTAATTATTGCAGCAAATGATGAGAATGTAATCTAACATTGAAACGAACATCTATAAATCTTGTATATTTTTGATGTCTTTATTTACGTCTAAGATAGCATACAATTAGATTTCCTAATTGTCGGTAATTGGTATCAAAGTCTTGTTTTGACCGAAAGTAACGATTGATGAAGCATTAGTGTTACCATGGGCCTACAAGTTTGATGGTATGGATTTTGCATGTAGGGCATGAAGATCGGGGATTATCTATAAAGTTAAAAATGGCATTTTCATTCTATGAGAAGCCGAAAGGAAGAAAGACGTTGAGTGAAAATCTTTGATTGTCAGGTGTTGAGTGCTGTCCATTTAAACCTATCGAAAAAAATACTAGTCCCAATCCCAATGTGGCAACAAATAAAATCATGGGAGATTTGATGAAACTATTGTCTGATATGGATGAGAACATTCAATGTGTGACGATGTACATCTCATAAAAATTATTTAATTAGAAAATGGCTTAAGGTGGTCCTGTAGTGGAGTATATGTATAAATTCAATATATTTGTCAATCAGTTAGTCTCTATTAAGATTAATTTGATAATGAAGCAGTTGTCCTCAATTTGTTGGCATCATTACTGGGTAGTTGGGAGTATATGAGAGTTGCGATCAATAACTTCATAAATAATGTAGAACTAAAACTCAATTATATTTGGGACACTATTCTTGAGGAAGTCTGTAGAAGATATTCTGGAAAAGTCTCAATATCTAAATTTTCCCTAAATATCTGAACTATGGGTAGTGACTTTGAAAAAATAATAATGATGATGAAAATAATATATATATAGCGATGGAAAGTGGATATAGAAAAAGTCCATATCTAAAAAGAATGTGGAATGACAGATATTGACCTATGATTGATTCATCCTTAATGTTTTGACCATGACAAACAAGATTAATATTATTTCTAACAATTGATTTTGGATGATAATAACTCAATGTTAAAATCAATCAAGCATTTTTAATCGGACTTGAAATGAAGATCAAAGTGGAAATTAAGCATTCAAGTCAAATCATTCGAGACGAGAACTTAAAAGATAAATGTTAAGAAAGATCAAGATTAAGAGCATGAAAAGTAACATCAAAGAAAGAGCAAGACGAGAAGTGTAAGAGGCAAACTTTGGAGCAAAGACTTGATTTTTTATATAAAATGTAAATGTACTAATACTTTGATATTTAACAATGAATGTTTAAGCTCAAAATCCGTCTATACATTAAAAACAATTTTTGTGCATTCAAAGTTTTTTGATCAAATATAAAAATAACTTTTAAAAATGACACTTGGACTTTAAAAACTTTTTTATCTTAAAAAGTTTGTTAAAAGTACTCTTAAATGTCCATACTTTTCAAAACTCTCAAATCGAAACAAACGAGATCAAAACATAAAAAGATCACACTGCTGGGACGGTCAACTAGCCAGAGAGGTGGTCAACTAAACCAGTCGACCGGCCATAAGAGGCGGTCAACATGTCTTCCGAACTTAAATATTTTTTACGTTTTTGAACTCTATAAATATCCTCACTCTTTCAATTCTTCATAAGATTTTCAAGTGTATCAAAGTGAGATTTTTTTGTTTTAAAAATTCTTTGAGCTTTCCTTTGCATTTATTTTATTTATTTCTTCATATTAAAAACTTTGATTGGTTTACACTCTTTAATCATCATCTTCATCAAAGTTTTTCATCTCTCCTTTTATACTAATTTATTTCTATCATTCATTGAAGATATAGATATTTTGACGAAAAGTTTTGAACGTAACATTCTATCATTTCTTTCACTTCTATATATCAAAACTTTGATTTATTGAATCAAACTTGTAAAATCATAATATTTATCAAAATTCCACATCTCTCTTTTGGTACTTAATTTATTATCGTTATTCATTAAAGAGAGGTATTTTGAGAAGATTTTTGAACTAACATTGCATTTATTTGTTCTTCATCTTCTCATTGAAAAATTTTGATTGATTGAATCAAATGTTTAATTATATTCATCAAAGTTTTTCTTCTGACACTTGAGCTATCATTTAGTGCTATTCATTGAAATGATAGTCTCTCTTAGTACTTAATTCAATTGTATCATTTATTAAGAGAGAAATTTCATCGTTAAATTATTTCTCTAAACTTGTGGGTCGTATTGAGGTCTCATGAAAGCTCAATAGTATAAGGATCGGTGCTCCTTATTGTAAGTTACAGTGTGGGTCATACTGAAGTCTCGTAATACTCAATATTATATAAGATAGTGCTCCCTATTTGTAAGTCACCAGAAACGTTGTAAAGGGTTGGATTGCATCCCAAGTCAATCAGTATAGTGAAAAGACCATGCTTGTACTGGAGAACTTAGTAAAGAAGGTCGTAGAACATTGCTTTGGATCGAACCTCCACAATTATATCGTTGCATCATCTCTACCCTTTTACTTATCACAATCTTATTTATGTATATTATTTGATTGATCTACTTGCTTGTATTTTCTTATGATTAATAATTAATCAACATATCCTTTGAGTGCTTGATTTAAGTTTATTTTTCGAAAAAATTTTAAAAACCAATTCACCCCGTCTTGTTTAGTTATTCTTGAGCTTTCAATAGAAACGTGGCACAAGTAGCCATATGAAGAATTGTATAGAACCAAAGGAAAGGACGAAAAGAATAATTATAGTTCAAATGCAGTAACTCAAAAGGTATGAGATGTTTTACTCTTGTTGGTTCATAGTCATATTGATTCTTGAAAGATGGATTCAAGAACTTCTTTCACACCACAACACATCGTGCGATTATGAAGACCTATGTTGCTAGAGATTATGGAATGTATACCTTGCTAATGGAGAATTTATGGATACTGTTGGTATTGGTAATGTTAGTTTGAGGATGTCAAATGGGTCTGAATGAAAAATTCATAAAGTGATACATATATCGAAAAATGATGCATAATCTGATATTAGTTAGGGAAACTTGATGATGAAGGTCATAATGCAACTTTTGACGATATTGCTTCGAAAGTCAATAAGTGAGCAATGATTGTTACTTGAGGAAATAAAACTAGAACTCTTTAGATCACTTGCAATTATAGAGACATGGTTGTAGTTGACGATTCAACTGTTAATCCTAATTTGTGGCATTGTAGGTCGAGACAGGTAAGTGAGAAGGGAATAAAAATACTTCAATCTCAAGGAAAAACTCTCGAGTTTGAAATTTATTGAACACGGATTGTGTGAAGGCTATATTTTCGGTAAACAGAAAGGATTAGCTTCTCTAATATCAGAAGGGATTCAAAATCTACAAAATTAGATGATTTATATGTTGAATTTAATTTAATCATGTTAAAAATCGATAATCACAATCCAATAAATTGATATAAACGAATTCATACCTGCGGAAGCCATTGTTGATATGAATAATAGTTGTAATAGCAGCCAAGACCTTCCCCTCCTTGCTCCTCACAAAATATTAGCTATCAATGGGACAAGTCAATAAAAACATATGGAGAGAAGAGGGGACATTGCCTTTATATATAGGAAATAATTTAAGCCGTCCTATTACGACTAGAATTCTAATTAGGCTTTATTTCCGGCCCACATACTTTAAATTACCACATCAAATTAATTACAACCCGTAAGATGTAAAAGGCTCAATTGATCACTTAATAAATTTGGCCCAAACACAATTATCATTATGAGCCATATATCTAACCCGTAAAATTTTGCAATCGAATGTGAAGCCCACATATGAAATTATTAATTATTCCAACATTCTCCCATTTGGGAAAATATTTGATTGCCATAACAAAGTTTTAACACCCGGGTTAGACTACATAAGTGGCCACTAAAGTATAGCTCCAATGATGACTCCTTACGTAGCATGATCCGGTCTAACAAGAATATTAACACCGAACATGGAAGTCATTACACCAATTTAAGAGATGTAAGACAATTCCACAGCTACAAATATCAACATCCTTGTCGACATGGATCCCCATCCTCCAACCAATATGGTAGTATGTAGTATGAACTTAGCACCAAATGTGATAAAAAACTGTGCTAACTCATATCGGTCCTCATAATGCTTCAAATCAAAATGAAGCCACGTGTCTCTAAAAAAGACTCTTCTTATGTCTTTATACGTCATATTTCAAGATACCAATAATATAAAAAGATATAAGTTAAATGCATGCTTAAAATAGTTCATGGATAGGGAAAAAATTATTTTATTATCAGAAGGGGCTGTACCGAAAACATATGGGTTGCCTACGTATCCCGCAAGGGATCA